ATACTAACACAGTAGTCTTATTGAAGAAAATTTATAAATTTTTTGCTTTTTTACATGTGAATCCAAAATTGCTTTTGAATAAAACGGAATTATATTTGAAAAATATATGTTATTAGCTATGTTTTGAGTACCATCTATCAAAGAATTTTGTTTTTTTTTCAAAAAATAATTCAGATTCACCCAGAGAGACCTTTCAATTTATAATAGAAAAAAGAAGAATTTTTATAATAAGAAAGTTTATTCAATGATATTACATGTATGTCAAATTACATCAGTTGCAACTATTGTTTAATAACAATGGACTTTTTTGAATCATGAGATCACATAGAAGAGAATAGAAAATGATAGAAAATATCACACTTTGCACAAGAGTTATCATTACAATTTTAATCACAAAGGGAAAGGAACTAACATATTTCAAACACTGATTATGTAACTCTCGAAAGATTTCTAAACGTACTATAATTATTCAAATTTTCATTGGAGAACAAAGCAGCTAGCGTTTCTCGACGGCCTATAAAAGTAGTGAATATTGAAAAGAAATAGAAACTTTTATTTCTTTGAAAGAACATTCGAAAAGTTATAAATATATAAATACTATTCCTTTTATTCTATTTTGATCTAGCTGAGTTTGGCGAAAAATTATCAGTATGCAATAAATGCACAACAAAAGGTATTACATTAATAACCTTAAATTATTCCAAATCGACACAATTTCAAGACTACCGGTCTTTATAGACGTAGAAATGTACATTATTTTGATCTCACTAGTAAAATTACATTAATAACGACATCAAATAATTTATTGTTACAAATTTAACCCTTATGTAACAATAGAAAAGATGAAATATTGCTGAATTTTATTACAAAAAAAGTTTTGTGCGATAATGTTGAATTTGGGACAATTGATTTTGATCGTCATATTCATGTTAATGTAAATGATATGAATATGGAAATGTATGCTATTATTAATTTGAAAATTTTTATTTTATTCGGTATCTAACTTTAAGTGAGCCTAGTTTGAGAACACGTTACTACTTATCTTGAATTGTTGGCTTTTCTTTTGTATAAAATACATGATGTCTTTTTCAACATCATTCGAATATATTTTTTATCTTATTATATCACAAAGAGTTGTTCTGAACAGTTATACCTTTTAACTTACATATGTTGACATTCATGCCACCCAACATTTATTCTAGTTAACATAGATCTCTATTGTATATAAGCACACCTTTTCTAGAACCATATGCATGCAAACATTCGTTCAAACTCTTTTCTAAACTAATCATTTTTTCGAGAAAAAACGCATTAAAGAGAACAACATTGTAATGCGTTTCAAAAAACACTCTTTTTTCAATAGAAGAAGGCTAAAAACGCGTTTGAATGCATAGCGAACAAATGCGTCCAAACGCATAAAAGTAAATGCATTCAAACAGTGTTTTTAAGCTGCGTTTCAATTTGAAAAAACGCGTTCAAAATCTAAAAGACGCGTTTAAACGCGCTAGAAATAAAAATTGATGCGTTAAAACCCGTTGAACTTAAAAAAGGATGCGTTGAAACGCAAAAATAGCATTTTTTTCCTAAAAGTTTGCGATGGAACGCATTTTTATACAAATTATTTTTCATGGATACTTCTTGACAAATATCAAAAACTCTGTTCCCAAAAAAACAGAACAAAAATGTTCTGTTTTTTTGGAACAGAATTTTTGACATTTTCCAATAACAGAACACTTTTGTTCTGTTTTCGGAAAAAATCGAGGAAGAAAACGTGTACTTCTTGTACTTCTTCGTACTTTTTCGTACTTCTTGGTACTTCCTCGTACTTCTTGGTACTTCTCTGTACTTTTCCGTACTTTTGTACTTCGAAAGTACAGAAATCCGCTTGTTCCCCTTGAAAATGACTCCATTTTTTCTATCACTTTTTACCATCAAGATGAACATCGATGGTCTTCACTTCGGCTAGCGATATTCGTTTTATACCGTCGATTCTGATAAAATTTTGTTGGAATCATATCTCCATAGGAGTAAACATTTGAAATTTGTAGCAAATCATACCTGAATATTGAAGGCTCTGTTACATAAATTTCAAGTTGAAGTAGAAAATTCTGATGGAATTAGAAAGATTTGAATGATAAGAAGTCACTTTTCGATACGTGATTGTTCGTAAAATATAGCTGCTATTAAGTAAGCACTCAATAAATCTTGAGTACAAATGGTCCAACTCTCGCATGCTTCCAGAGAGAGTACCAATCAAGCTCAGACTTGGCGGATGATCTACAGTTTTTATTATGATCATGTACAAAAAAATTCATAAAACAAAGCACAACAGAAAACTAAGACTCAGTGTTCGGCTACTTATAACCAGCATTGTCAGTAACACAAGCTGCTATCTTGATCAGTTATTACTTTTTCCATTTTATCATCTTGTTATCAGTTATAAAATATACAGAGTATTAACGATAACTTAGTTACGTGCAATACCTTTTCAAACAATGACAAACTGAGAAAAGTAATAAAAATAATCATTATTAACTTTTTGAATTAAATTGAATCTCTTTCAGCCGTAACTACATTAGGACACGTCAAAAAGATTGATTAACAGGACTAATTAGGTGATAATGATAAAGTTATTACTTACTATCAGATGTTTATGGTTCCAACATGTGTCATAGTCAAAATTGTCATATGTCAGAGTATTTTCCGTAAAATTGCACCATAAAGACTGGAATATTCGACTTTCTCAAAACTCATATATCTTTGCGAATTATATTTAATTAGAAATTAAATGTTCGCCCTTCTAAATATTTTGGTTCGCAAGAAAGCAAGCAAAATGGAAAAATTCAGGTTTTACACGCAGTTTCACATGTAGAAGCTAATAAAAGAAATACTTTTAAAATCTGATAAAGACCATACATATGAACTATATTACTATTAATTAAGCTAATGTAAAATAATCATTATTTTGAAACTTTATCATTGAAAAAATTCAAAATAGTTCTTAAAAACTTGTCAATTTTTTTTGAATTCCCAGCATTTCATTTCTGTTACGCAAACGCGATGAATCTCCTACACTCAACACATCTTTGCGCATATAGTGAAAGTTTCATAGGAAATGAAAAATTTTCTCCAACCTTTTATCTTATTTATTGTTCAGCTATGGATTGGTGGCCTTGCGTCAGCAGCAGTCATTGTTATTACCATTTCAGCCTACAGTTTTTCCAATCAATACTTCCATCAATATCCAATTGAGCAAGTTACTAGTGACAGTTCATTTGCATGTGATGTCACATTACGTAATGCAAAATTTAGCACAACAATACAAATGACATCAAGTTCACGTAATACTACTAAACAAAATCAAGCCATCTTCAATATGCTTCACTCACAATCCTTTACGTTGAATATTGATCTTATCCAAACAGCATTCACTTGTAATGATTCTCTTATCGTTCAACGTCTCGTTGGCTCTAGACCGGCACAATTGCCAATTTCGGTGTGTCAAACAAGTTATAATGGTAGTATACTCTCCTTGGCCATTGTTCTTCCAACACAGGAAATTGGTATTCAATTCACATTGCCAGGATCAAGAACCATTGGTGCCATTCGTTTGGGATTAAGTGGACCTTCGGCGGTCAGTACTGATAAAAAGTAAAAGAAATGAGTTAAAACAAAGAGATTCATAACTGCATTTCAATTCTTTTTTATTTTTAATATTAATTTGATAAGGTCAACACTCCTAGAACTCAATTTTTCATCCACCTTTGTTTCTTCTTCATTCGATGAAATCCTCGCACCATCTACTCTTTTCTCCATTGGATTAACTGCAATTGTTAATCGAACAGATCCGTTGAATAGTGACGACCTGCCGACGTTCAGTGCCATTTGGTCATCTTCATTCGACGTCATAAGAGATGAATTGTTTACTAGCGAAAATCGATACACTTTCTTTCAGCGAACACAAACCAATATTAGCATTAAAATTCAAAAGTCAATATTTTATGTGAGCAATAAACAAGAACCGATTGCTCGACAAACTGAAATTATATTTCACAATCTTCTCTTTACAATTGTCGTCTTAGAATTATTCGGTTTGGTGTTTCTCATTAACAAATTATTGATTGTTCCTATGTATCATAGCATAACTAGTCGTCTACAGTGTTTGTCGAAAAAAAGTCGACTTGATGAGAGTCAAAATAAGTTGACCACGACGATTGCTGACAAAATCAATCGTCCAACAACCAGAAAGTCAGTTCCGTCTATAAAACCTCGTCATCGATGTTCGACCATCAGTCCCAACATCTGAGCTACTCACCAGTAGTAACAACTAATATGAGAGAGAATCGTACTAAATATTCTATTGTTCCACATATTTAAAATTCAATTCTCATTATTGGCTTCTCTTGCTTTTATATCATGTATGGCTTGCTTCAATAATATTACTGTTTTCGATGTTTTATGTCGTACTTCACTCTTAATAAAACGAATACAATATCCAGATATTGTTTCAAAGACTTTCAAATTCATCAAATAAGGATCCTGTCGGATACGATCGATACTCATGCTCTGAGAAACTGCCTTTCCGAAATTTTAGGCAATTTTGTTCTACGTCGATTGATATATGGAAAAGATTTACCAAATTTATTGTTAAATCTTGCGCATATGCTTGTTTTCGGTCATGCTATGTTATTATATCGATGTGGTCCCAAAAACAAAGAAAAGCTTTCCACGAATTCTTTTTAGTCTATCTGTTTTTGTAGAGTGAAGTGTACGCTACAGTATTGTATATTGGATGCCATCGTCGAATCACTTTTACCGAAGGGTATGGGTGAGTATGGGTGTGGGGTGTGGGTGTGAGTAGGTGTGGGTGTGGGCGGGTGTGGGGTGTGGGTGTGGGTGGATGTGGGTGTGGGGTGTGGGTGTGGGTGGGTGTGGGTGTCGGTGGGTGTGAGTGTGGGTGTGGGTGTGTGGGTGTGGGTGTGGGTGG